GGATGGGATGGGGTGGAGCCACTTCTCCTTAAGGCTTTTAAATTTGTCCTCACCTATATCCTTCATGGTCTTGCCAGCGCCTCCCTCTGTGGCTGGAGGGCAGGTCCTGGAAGAGCAAGCAGAGTTGGTCCGGTGAAGACGGACACTGACGTTCCGTCAAGTCCCCTGGTATTCCTCAACCCTGTTGCACGCTAGGCTTCCTAGCACCTGTGGGTGGGCCGCAGGGGAGAAGGCGGCCCGGTTCCCTGAGCCATCTGATCCGGCTCCTCCTCAGGGAGACAGGCTCACGGGAGGAGACATCACACAGGGTCACAGAGACATCACTCAGCAAACTGCTGAGCATCCGGGCAGCGCATTCCGCCCCAGATGGCAGAAGGGGATGCCGTGTGCTTCTGGCAGGGCCCTGGGCAGGAGGACTGTGGGGCTGAGCATCAGATGGGGCCAGGAAGATGCTGCCCAGGCCGGCCCACACGCAGGGCTCAGATGGCTTTGGGTCCTCCCCGGTGTGCGTCAGCTCCAGGCAGCTCCTCCCCAAGCCGAGGTGAGAAAGTGACATTTGGGGTCAGGCAACCCAGGGAGTAGAGGCCCCAAGGAAAAGGAAAAGGGTAACTGAGGCACCAGAAGCTGGGTCTGGCGCCAAGTGATCCACCTTAAGCCGTCTCTCAGGCGGCTCAAATGATAGTGGTAATAGGTGGGTGCAAAGCCCCCCCAAGCTCCCAGCGCGCGCACACACACACGCACACACACACACACACACACCACACCACACCACACCACACCACACCACACCACACACCCCCCCTGCTGTAACATCTGTTGTGACTCCTTCCTGGGTTGGGGGCATGAGCAGGCAGGAGCTACCCACCCACCGTTAACAATAGCATTGTTCTCTGAATGCTCCCCCAGCCTTGCTGGAGAGGGCTCCAGGTCAGCCCCTGAGGAAGCTTCCTCGCCCTTTATGTCCTATGGGGCAGAGGGATGGGCATCTGTTTAACCCACCCTTCTGCGTGACACTGTCCCCCTAGTCTGGCCCTGCTGTCCCAGCCCTGCCCTGTGATCACCTCTGACCCTGACAGGTGTGGCGGCCTCCACCTGTCAGGCAGGTGGCTCAGCTCAGCCTCCCTGTGGCCCCCACTCTCGAGGCCCCCCTCTGGCCATCTTCATCCCCCTCTGCCGCAGGCCCACTCCTGGGTCCTACGCCCACCCTCGTGCCTCGTGCCTGCCCTCGACTCTTGCTCAGGCTGTGGATCCCTCCTGTGGCCAGAGGGTGCCTTCCTGGGCAGGTTGGCATGCTGGGTGGAGGGCTTGGACTCAGCCAGGCCAAGCTGAGGCCCACTGACCCCTGTGTGGAAATTGGGGCACCCTCTCTCATTGGCACGCAGACCTGGGTCCTGCAGGGTGAACTCGCAGACATGTCCCTGCACCCCCTGCCCTGGGGAGGCACAGGAGAAGGTAGTGGAGGGGACACATGGGTGTGGGAACCAGCTCGGCTGGTGCAGGGGCAGCCAAGTGACAGCCTCACGCAGCCAGTGCCGGAGCAGGAGTGGGGACCACAAAGGTTTGCCACAGGCTGGACCCCAACAGTGTCTTGGGTGCCAGGTCAGTCTGACCCTAAGCCTCAAGGCGGAACACCCCAGGAGGCCTGTCCTGTGTGAGGTGTGGGTGGTGGGAGTGTAGATTAAACCCTCATGTATGTGCCTGTTGGGCTGCATTCTGGGGAGGCCACAGCCTCTTCAAAGATGACACCCAGGTGGGGGTGGGCTCCATCCATTGGTGGGAATTGCACCTCGCGCTGGAGTATAAAACCACAGAAGGGCTCTGCAAACTGCTGATCCACGGGGTGGGCTGCTTTCCTCTGAGAGAGGCACAAAAATAAGCACTCAGGATATGCTTCAAAGCGATAAAATTGCTTCTAAGTTGGGGGGAGGGGGAGGCCAGCTGGAACAATTTCCCAGGGGAAAAGGACCGGACTGTAGCTTTGGTTGACTGCAGCCTGGGCAGGCCTCGAGCCCTGTGGACAGTCTTGTGTCACAGTCCCTGGCCTCTCAAGCCACCAGCCCACCAGCCCTGTTCCGGGGCTGCCCCTCTGATCCTGAAGTCCCATCTCTGGTGTGAAGAACGGGAGGATGGGGAGAGGGGGTGGCTCAGACCAGGGACCGGAGCCTGCAGAGCCTGCAACTCCGTCCACAGGGAGAGGTGTGGACAGGAGCCAGGGCTTTCCCTGGTGGCCGTCTGTCTTTGTCCTGTAGGGCTGGAGACGGGGATAGCCCTGGGACTCGATTATCCGGGGGTCACCGGTTTTCAGCTTAGTGATCTTTTACACGAGGTCAGTGGAGGCGGCAGAGGCTCTGGACGAGTTGCCCAGGCTTTGCCCTGCGGTGAATCCGTCCTTTGGGGTGCTTGCCATCTCTGCACGGCTGTGCTTTGGGGACACACGCCATGCTGCCTCGCCACTTCTCCCACGGGCTGAGGGCACTCCTGGCTGCAGCTGGACCCCCGAGGTAGCCAGACGGCACTTGCCCAGTGCTCATGCCTCCTTTGCCGGTCTTGGCTTCCGCTACGTGGCCTCAGCAATCCTCTCCACGCAGCGTCCCCTCCAGGGCCTTCAGACAACAAGGCATCAGCCTTCTGAGGATCTCACCGTGGACACACGAGCTGTGGACTCAGGAGTTATGCGTTTGCTCTTTGTAGGTTTAAATGGGACCTGCAGCAGCTCAAGTGTTCCCACGTCGACCTCGGAGACTCCCGACTACCTGCTGTGAGTACTTCCCTTGCCGGCTGTGCCTCTCCCCTCCCGGCCCCTGCCCTGCGCCTTAGCAGAGGCAGAGCTGACCCCAGGCCATGTGTGTGAATTCCTGGCCCAGTTCAGGGCTGCTTCCTGGGTGGGGCCGGCCACAAGGCTGTGGGCACTTCCAGGCTCTCTCCTGCTGCCCCCTGAGCCCCTCCTGCCCCTCTCTCTGGTCTCTCCAGAAAATACGCCACTATCTCCTCCTCGGAGCAGCGCCAGAGCTACAAAAACGACTTCAACGCTGAGTATAGCGAGTACCGAGACCTGCACGCCCGCATCGAGCAGATCACGCGGCGCTTCACGCAGCTCGATGCCCAGCTCCGGCAGCTCTCCCAGGGCTCCGAGGAGTACGAGGTAGAGCCCTACCCACGCACATCCAACGGCTCTGCCCGGTGCTGGCATCCTCGGGCACGTTCCCTTGTATTCTGGGCTGAGGGCCTTGCTCGCCCCTCCTTCCCACTCTCCAAGTGGTTTAGGCCTGTCCCTGGAGCTCAGCGTCCTCAGCAGTGGGGCCAGTTGTGACTGACTCCGCAGGTGGGAGATGACCCACGGGGGCGGGGGCGGTGTTCCGAGCAGTGGAGACAGCGGGGAGCAGCGGGCTGGGGTGCCCGTGTCCCCACCTCTGAGAGCACCTGGGGTCCCCTCTGCAGTCCACTACCCACGTCACACGAGAATTCTCAGTCCCCCAGCCAGAAGGGGCTGGCCAGGCCACACCCCACGGCCCATCAGAGCTGTCACAGACACAGTGGGAGGTAGCAGGGGATGGAGGGTCCTTGGGGTCCCCCCACCCAACCCTCTTCCTCTGGCCAAGGGCACCTGGGTTCCCCAAGCCATCCCATGTGGGAGCTCACTGCAGGGGGCTTGGTCACCAGCCCTGGGACGCCAACCCTCCCCCTTGTGCCACCTTTCAGAGCTGGTTACCTGAATGCAGGGCCAGCCCTGATTAATCGTGATGTTGGGGTCCATCTCCCCTGGTGGAGGCCACTTTGGTTTCCAGAGGAGATAGCTCGTGATTGGGGCAGAGAAATGGGGCCTCTGAGGGTCTAGGACAGAAAATCCCCAGGGCATCTCTGTCCTCCCTCCTCCCTGCAGGCCCCACAGGGACACTCCCCAGGTGGTCAGGGGGCCTCTGCGCTCGGCCTTGAACGGTGCACAGGCCAGCTGGGTGCGAGGGAAGGGGGCCATCCCATCTGCTCTTTGCCTCCTCCAGAGGCTCTGACCAGCCTGCCCCTCCTACCGCGTGGCCTCGTGCTTGTCCCTGAGGCTGGGCGCCTGCCCCTCGCTCCCCTGGCCCAGCTTCCTCCCCCACCTCCTGCCCTGCTCATCCCCCAGCCTGCCCCCTGCCCCTCCTCTGTGCTTCCTCACGCCATCACGCCATGCTGAGGCCATTGTCCCCCAGCATGCGGTGACCTTACAGGTCGCAGGTTATCAGGGAGAAGGGGACATTCAGTTGGGGTGTCCTGCAGGTAATGCATTGTTCGCTTTCTCTTCTGTTTTTCCTCCAGACTACTCGTGGGCAGATTTTACAGGAATACCGAAAAATCAAGAAGGTGAGTCTCCATCCCTTTGTTGGGGGTAGGTGGGGTGGGGTCAGAAGCTGTTTCAAGATGAGTGGCGCCAAAGTCTGGGAGAGGAGGGAGGGAGGGAGGAAGGGCCTCACTGGGCTGGTCTCAGGCCCTCGGAGTAGCCCCTGCCCCTGGTCACAGCTGAGGAGCTGAGCCTGTCATATGAGCTGGGGTGCAGCTCCTCCCCGGGCACCCCTGCAGTCCCCACCCCCGCTCTCCCAGTGTTTGATGGGCACAGCCCCAGGTCCTTTCTGCCTCCCAGCCTTGGGCTCCCTGACAGTCTCCTGCGATGTGGTTCCACAACAGCAGCTCACGTTCCTGAGGGCCACATGTGCCAGGGCGGCTCCCTGCCAGCCAGGCCCCAGCCCAGCGTGGAAGCTTCATGACCTATCTTGCCTCAGCCACTCACCCTGGCTGTGACCGCTTCCCAGGGTGGAGCCGAGGGACAGAGCAGGGGTCCCCGTCACGGCATGGAGAGTTCAGGCTGCAAGCAGGGCGAGTGGGAACCTGGGGCAGCCAAGCAGGGCAGCTCGAGTTCGGGTTGGGTTCTCAGCCTTGGCCGTGTGGGCGAGTCTCAGCCTGGCCGCTCTCTTACAGACCAACACCAACTACAGCCAGGAGAAGCACCGCTGCGAGTATCTGCACAGCAAGCTGGCCCACATCAAGAGGCTCATCGCTGAGTACGACCAGCGGCAGCTGCAGGCCTGGCCTTAGCTCAAGGCCACAGGGCAGGAGGCCCCACCCAGCCAGCCAGGCCAGCTCACCTCACCGGGCTGACCGTTCTGGATGGTGGGGGAGCTGGGGGCGAGGGGGAGCTGAAGATGAGGAAAAAAGAGATTTATCTGAAAAAATAAGCGTGAGGAAGACGCATTCATCTGAGCCAGGAACGCCGGCTTTCAGGGGAGTCCCTGCAGCCCTGGCGCCCGCAGGCCACACAGACCCAGGTGGGGTGTCCACCTCCCCCGGGGCCCCACACACCTCCTGAGCAGCCTCCCCACCCAGATGGGCTCCCCAAGA